GGCCAGCACGGCACAGGTCTTCCCCCCCCCCCCCCCCCCCCCCCCCCCCCCCCTTCGAGACATGCTGCGAGGGTGCCTCTCTGGCCGGCGGCGCGGAGGATTCCAGACCATTGCAAGGCCGATGGGCACCGGGCGGAGGTACGCCGTTGGCGGCGCCGGGCGCGGCGAGCAAAGGAACAGGCGGGGGGGGGGGGGGGGGGGGGAGGCAGACCCCTCCCCCCAGCACCCGCCCCCAGCCCCCAACCCCCCCCGGCCCTCGTCCGGTGCCCCCACACAGAACACCATTTCACTCTAGTGCGCAGAATCCAGATGCTCCTTTCTGCACATGGTTGTGGGATCAGAGTGACGACAGTCTCAAGTGCACGTGACGGCTAGTTTAAATCCGCCAGCTCTCCGCCGGTCTGCCTCCATGCCGGCCGATGTGCGGCGGCGCGGTGGTGCCCCGCCCCGCCGGGGGGCTGCGGGGCGGGGGGGCGGGGGGCGGATGTTCCGGGCCGAAACAGAGAGCAAGGAAGAGAGAGGGAGAGAGAGAGAGGCATAGACAGGAGGGCGAAAGAGAAAGGGGGTGCGTCGTGTGGTGGGGATACCCCATGGTGGGCTCCGCATGTCTTGGTGCTTGGGGTGTTACGCGCGCGCGCAGTTTATTGCCAGGCCCCCGTCTTTCCGCCCCCCTCCCTGCTCCCCGGGCCCCCCGGTGGGGCGAGGGCAGGGGCGCACCACCCGGCCCGGGGCCGGGAAGCATCGATCCACCTCCCGAGGGCCGAAACGGAGGCAGGGGGGGGGGGGGGGTGAGGGCTTGCCCGCGCGGAGACGATCGCCGCCCAGGCGGGCAGCATAGATCTCTCCTTCTCAAAGGGTGTATTGTGTGTCGGTTAGCGCCCGACGAGCCGGGAGTCCCTCCCCTCCTCGCGATGCCCGCACGGTGAGACCCGGTGCGACGAAAAGCCCACCCTGGTCGAAGAGATGGGTGCTAGCGCGCTCCCCCCACACCCTCCTCTCTCTCCCACACCCTCCGCGATTTGTCCCCCTGCCAGATCCCTCCC